CACCGACATACAGTCATCTGCAAAGCAAAGGTTTATTTTTTTAATCCACATGTGTCTCCATACAAAAAAAAAGCTACTGTCAACTTACATCCCTTTCTGAAAATGGATAAATATCGTTATGACCTTTTGGGTGGCATAAGTCGTGTTTCGTTTTCAGACGAGTGACAGCACAGAAAAAGCAAGTCTGCTTCCTAGTGATTTATCCGCAGGGGCGGCACCTCACTGTTTTAAACATACGCGTGTGGGGACCAACGTTTAAACGCGGTTGTGACAGACTTGCCCCCGTGGGGAGAAAAATAAATAATATTGCTTCTTTCAATATGTTTGTTATTTTTTAAGCGTCATCTTTGAAGCGATATTCTATTTTAATATTTTTGTAAGCTATTTTTTTTTAATATGAAAAGCACTCTCCTTCAAAGACATTGTCATTATTTCGAGTTAATACCAAAACCGTTTTCTGGTATGCCGGTTGTCTGTCACGTCGGAGCCGACCATCTCTCGTCCTGTCGAATGGCAACCAACCGAAAACATTTTTCGCAAATTGGCTCTCAGCAAATGTTGTCATGTTTCCTGATTTTGTTGCAAAAAAAATAAAATAAAATAAAAAATATAAAAGTTAAAGCGAAAAATATATTAGGTTGGTGCAAAGATAATGACGCAATAATGTCGTTTTGTGACCTTAAAAAATACGTCAAAAAACGACATTATTACGTCATTATTTTTGCACCAACCTAATATTTTTAAGCATTCTTTTCGCTCCATTATTACAGACCAGCATTATAACACATCTTTGACCGGGCTTTCATTATTGAGAATTTTTGCCGTTCATTTGGAGCAGTTAAGTTTAAATCAGCCCACCTGAAAATCAGTATTAGTTACAACAATTGGGTGCTACTGAGGCACATTCCCAAATAGGGCGTTAACAATGTGAATGGGGGGGGGCTCAAAAGCGCCGTTTTTGCGTTCGGTAGGCAAGGTCGAATTTATTGCTTATAAACTTCAATCTCGCGTTAATTTCCCTCTCGAAGTTCTATACTGCCTTAACCGGGTATTGAACTCACACGCTTTGGGCCCTGTCACTGGATCAAACCAACGCCTTTATCCATTGTGCCATAATACCTCATCTCAGAAATATAGATAGCGTTCCTGAAATCAGCAAGAATACTTAGGAAGGTGCTGAAATATTGAGGAAACTTGTCACTCGTTTAACAACGATGGACAACAGAAAGTTCTGATATGAATTGTCAATCCGAAGTTGAATTTAAAGCATCCAGACAAGATCTATATTAAACCAATAAGAATATCGCTGAAAGTGTTGGCATATTGGGCAGACGTGTTGTGACTCGCTAAGCGGAAATGTCTATTATTTGATTCGATTTTGTCTTGTTGCTTAAACAAAGGGTTCATTTCGACAGTCCAACCACCTGAAGAAGGCCGGAAAGTACAACGGTCGAAAGGTTGTAATAAATATGGTGACAAAGATGAGGACAATAGTCCGAATAATGTAAATAATGTTCGGGAATGCTGTCATCTGGATTGTTTCGATCCGTCTTCGGATTTCCAATTGACACTTCATGCTTTCTTGTGGCCATCTCTGTTGAACGTGTGACATCAAATCATCTCGATAATCCAGCACCTTCCTCAGTATTCGTGATGATTTGAGTAATGCTGTCTTTCGCGTGGTTTCGGTTCTTTCGCTGATTTGCATTTCACACCAGAAATTTCCGGTTGTCATCGGTGAATGTCTGGATGACAGCATGAATCCTCAGTATTACAGCACCCTGCTCTGCAGTCTTGATTATTTTTGTAATGCAGTCATCTGGACAGTTTCGATTCTTCCTCGAAATTCCAATTCATATTTCATACTTTCTTGTGGTCGTCTGTTTTGAACGTGTGATATCAATACTCCAGCACCTTCCTCAGTATTCTTGCTGATTTTATTAATGCTGTCGTCTGGATGGTTTTGATACTTTCTCGGATTTCCATTTCACATCTTCATTCTTTCCTGTGGTCAGCTCTGTTGTGCGAGTGACATCAAGTCTCCTCAATACTCCAGCACCCTCCTCAGTATCCTTGTTGATTTTAGCAATGATCTTTACCGGTTGATTTAAATTATTCTTCAGATTTCTAATTCGCATCAGAGCTTTCTTGTGGCCATCTTTAGTGAACGAGTGACATCAAGCCTCCTTAATATTCCAGCACCCTCCTCAGTATTCTTGCTGAACTTAATAATGTTGTCGTCAGGATAGTTTCGATTCTTCCTCGGATTTCCTATTCCTCACATGTTTTTTTTATGATTCTATGCATGTATTAAGCCATATTGTGTCACTTTGTCATGCCATGTTTTATATTCATTGTGTGCCAATACCGTGCAATCTGATACGAGATGGTCAATTGTTTCTGGGTATTTATCACATAATTTGCATTTTGAACTAACACATTATTTTAGTATGTATGCTTGATAATTTCTAGTTAACAAGCATTGGTCCTGTGCAGCAAGGATAAAACCTTCCCTTTCAGCTTTTAACCCTGCACTACGCAGCCACTGATGGGCACGGGGTTTGTCTACATCAACTTGTTTGGTACGGGCAGAGTATTGACCGTGAAGCGATTTATCTTGCCATTGTTTCTGTATCTGCTCGGTTGCAAATATTATTATTATTATTATTATTATTATTATTTTCTTTGATTTGTGGCGTTTACACATTTCTTTCCGGGTCCCGCCCAGGGACCTAAGGTTAGAAATGGCATCATGACACTTTCCAGTGACAAAAAAAAAAAATACATAGATAAAGCCCTTCGTAAAGTGTGGGCTGTACTTGTCAGAACATTTTTTTGTATCTCTTTGAGGCATGGACTTCCAGGAATCCCTTCAATTAGTCTACTGCAATCTTTTCCAACCAGTCCTAGGGCTCCAACTACAACAGGGATTGTTGATGTTCCCATATGCCACATTTTCGAGATTTCTATTTCAATTTCTTCTCATTATTATTATTATTATTTGCATGTTATATTTCCTGCTTTGTATCCTGTAGAACCGGGTACAAACTATTATGAAATCGAAGAATTGTCATTCCTTCTCTCACGGGGCCAAGAGTTCCGATTACTATTGACACACTCAGTTCTTTTTTCTTCACATCGTGTTAATCTCAATCTTCAGGTCGTTCTATTTGGACAGTTTCTCGATAATTTTCATGGAGGTACTACTACTACTACTACTACTACTACTACTAATAATAATAATAATAATTATTATTATTATTTACTTTGGTTTTTTATGTATACTTCTAGTTAGCAAGCATTGGTCCTGTGCAGTAAGGATAAAACTTTCGTTTTCAACTTTTAACCCTGCACTACGTAGCCACTGATAGGTACGGGGTTTGTCTACATCACCTTGTTTGGTACGGGCAGAGTATTGACAGTGAAGCGATTTATCTTGCCATCGTTTCTATATCTGGTCGACTGTATTTGCTTTTGCTTTCTTTTTTAAGGATTTTTGTTATGTCAACGAACACTCGAACTTTCGTAATGGTCGTTGTAGTAGAGACGTTGTAATCGTAGATACAACTATAGTACACTCTTGAACAATACTGATGTCAGACGCCTTCGAAAAATCTCGCATTAATACTACTTGCTCGATAATCCTCGCTCTAACAGTAATCCGTATAGTGACCCGAATAGAGAAATAGTATAATAAATAGAGTAGGGAATAGCAGTCCATATAGTAATAGAAGATAGTATAGAAATGGTGATCCAAGTAGTAATAGAGGATAGACTAGAAATAGAGATCCGAATAGTAATAGAGAAAACAGAAATAACGATTGTTAGTCGTCAGCTACTTCCTACATATATAGGTTTCTTCTATGGTCACGTGGTCTACTTAATTCAATAATGTGATCGCTTGTGTTTGTGATCTATGTTCAAACTCAAGTGTCGGTAGTGACACTTTATTCCTATATAACAAGTATTTTGCAGCTTAGGTCGGTGTATGGTGCTTTACTTGTATTTCTTTGAAACTCATTTGATTATTATTATTATTTGTAACGCTTTTTTTTCCCTTGCGTTGATAGAATGATTTTTTATACTTTCCGGATTATCCATTTTTAAAGACAGAAATATTTTTAGATTGTAAGATTTTTCTAGCGATACTAAGGATTTACTGATACAAGCCCAACTAATTAACCCATTGCTGGAGGAGAAAAAGTTGGATTCGTCCCATTTCGAAGTGAATATAAGGAAACCTACTGGAAATTGGACTCGTTTATCCGACTTCAATTTCCGAGCCATTATCCAATACTTCAGCCCCACGTCCAAGCTTACAGCACCTGGTATTCCCAGTAGATCACAGGTCTAGTTGCTGAACAAGTTAGACGTTGCTTAACTTCGTTAATTGTACGAGAAACGCTGTTTCTACTTTATATGGCCGTAAGGCCCTAGCAAATGAATTTAAGTTGTCTGAAAATTTATCTTAAGTGGGCATCTCTTAGGATTTAGAGAAACGGGAAGCCAATTATTTTCTGTCGCAATTTAGATCACCAATCGGCCATAACGAATTCTTAAGTACATTTACTGCACAGCATTATAATGAGAAATCCAAAACTTCATTTACAGATATTGCTTTCTAAATTATTCAACAATACTAGAAAATAAAAAGATAGACATTTACAGACAGTCAGTTATACACCATACGTGATACACCTTTCGATAAATGACAGCAGGTTGCCATTTCTTTCTGTGGTAGACTAGTTACTCATAACTGGGTGAAGAAGAAGAAGAAGATTCATATCTTTCCCAGGGTTATTAGCACTTACGTGCTAATACCCTTGGGAAAGGTATGAAAAGGTATTATTGGATTCGACTGGAACTCGAACTCGGTTCTTCGATTTCCCAATGCGAGCCGCTAACAAGTACTCCACCGTGTCACCCTTACAGACTCATATCTTTATTGTCTATACGAAACAGTGCTAGCTCTCTCTAATATATGACTATTTTCAGGTCTTCTGGCCATATCAGGTTGAAACATCTGTTCCTGTATGATCACCGAAGTTAAGCAACGTCGAGTCTGCTCAGTACCTATCTGGGTGATCGCCTGGGAATAACAGGTGATGTAAGCCTGGATGTGCAGTTGGTATAAGGGGCTTATGCACTGATTCCTGTACGATCAGCGAAGTTAAGCAACGCCTAACCAGTTTAGTTCCTAGATGGGTGACTACTTAGGAATACTAGCTGCTGTAAGCTTCGATGTCCGTGTGGTATAAGAAGCTTACACAATGGCTCCTGTTCGATCAGCGAAGTTAAGAAAACGTCTAGTCAGGTCAGTTCCTAGATGGGTGATCACTTGGGAATACTAGGTGCTGTAAGCGTGTATGTGCAGTTCATTCAAGGGGCTTACGGACCCATCACTTTGAAACACCGTTCCTGTACGCTCAGCGAATTTAAGGAACCTCTTAGAGGCGACAGTCTGTTTCATGCTAGACGCAATCAGACTGCTGCCTCTAAGTGTTGACTTCAATGTTCACGCTCCATCTCTTATATTGAGCATTTATCCCATAGATATCCCATAGATAAAGACTATATATATATATATATATATATATATATATATATATATATATATATATATATATATATATATTTATATATAAGCCTGTTTCGCTGTATCACTGTCGGAGATCACTGTTTCGCTGTGTGGTGAGACATCCAATCGTTTCAAGCCGGGATCGAAACTCAACCAATTTGTCATCAACGTCGGCGCGCGTCAATGAAAGGGAATCTTTTAACGTGTTATATACGTGATTTATATAAACACCAAATGAGAAGCCAGAGCCATAGATTCATAACTGAAGAGCGATGCAATATATATATATATATATATATATATGTGTGTATATATATATATATATTGATTTAAAATATGGTTTTTCCGCTACACAGTTCTAACCATGTTTCAAAAAGGGAAGGTCCTTGGAAACGTGAATTATGATTTGTGCTCTCTTTAAAACCCAGTAATTTTATAAGCTACTCGCTTGAGGATGAAATGGAACTAATGTCTTTAATTTAATTACGAAATTAAATTCGGACCTTCCATTTTTGAAACATGGTTAGAACTGTGTAGCGGAAAAAACATATTTTAAATCAATTTATTTATAATATTAATGCTCTGTAAATTTACATTGAGCACTATTTTGTAAAAATAAAAATATCTATAAAAACACAGGATTATATATGTTACTGTTGTTTGTTTTATTTATATACATACATACATACACACACACACACACACACACACACACACACACACACATATATATATATATATATATATATATATATATATATATATAATGCTCTGTAAATTTAATTTGAAAAAAATAAAATAACTATAAGAACACCAGATTATATATCTTACTGTTCTTTTCTTTGTTTATATATATATATATATATATATATATATATATATATATATATATATATATATATATATATATTGTTTTATAAATGACAAGGCGCATCCTTTAAGAGGAATGTTTTTCAACTAACACTTCTGAAAGATTGGTTGGAAAAAAAAACAACAAATATACAGATTAGAAAAATAATCATAAATGTCGAAACTGGAAAAGTGCATGGGTGGGAGAGTGAAAAAGTGCATGGAATTGGTGAAATAAAGAGACACGCCCAAAATAAATAAAACAGAAATCAATGTAAATAAACACCACGCCCTTTTTCAATTTCGCCGTTTTTTTTTTGTTTTTTTTTTATTTATTTTCTTATATTTGTTTCTTTTTTTTTTGGTTCTACAAAAAAGTATCCTTTTAATGTTCTCCCTAACTTTTAAAACAATATGCAAATTCTGTGCTATAAAATTGTTGTTCTAATATGCAGGGTGCGATGTGTAAATTGTCGCCAATTTGTATTTATAATTTCGCGCATGCGCGATGTTTGTTTTTAATTTTGTCAACTGTACTGTATAGCAGCGTCTGTTGTGCACCGTATGTAAGAAAAATAGCACCATGAGGCAATTCCCTCTGGCTGAAATTTACAAACAGCATGCTGTACTGCTTGTATGCGCTGGCATCTCCAATACGAATATTTCAGAGTGTTTCGGTGTCAATCTGAGGACAGTGCAGAGGATGCTGTGTACCAAAACGATGTACCGACAGTTATGAAAACCAAAGGTTCAGTTAACATCATGGCGTTTGGAGTTATCACGACGTTATGCCTCCATTCTTCTTCCAACAGATTCAACACACAGGCCTACACCAAGTGACTTGAGGAGGTAGTGTCAAGAGGACCCTATATCTGACAACAAGATTCTACACCATACCACACAATCAGAAGAACCTAGTCTTAGCTGTCAAACAATTTCTGCGACCACTTTACCCCTTACACCTGGCCACCTAACTCCCCTAGACTGCAACAAACCTTTGATTATTATGTGCGGGACGCAGTTGAGCGAGAGACAAACAAAATTTCTGGCAGCATTCACCAACTTACACAAGGAGACCGTCCAGAAGGGTCGCAGGAGATCCCACAATCATCTGGTGGCCGTGGTTGATTTTATTGAATCAATTTGCTCTTTAGTATTTCAAGATATTTTTGTGTAATTTTGCTAAATAAGTCTCTGAAAATGTGATGTTAGTTTCATTTTTGCTAAATTAGACGACAATTTATCAATCGCACCCCATGTATATGTGTGTACACACACACACACACACACACATGAGTGATGGAGAAACAAGTCAGCTGTGTTTGTTTTATTATTTATTTATTAAAAAAATGTATTTCATTTATTTAATATGAATAGTAAAATTGATGCTAATATATATATATATATATATATATATATATATATGTACAAGAATATGATTGGTGTATACGGAATAAATTCCAATAACCAACAATTACTATTCTTAAAAGAGTGCTCAATACAGAATAGAACGAATATAATTATTTATTTAAAAATTATAACATAATATGTTATAAATTCACTACAAAAATAGTCATTTTGTTTCAACACCTCGAGTGTCTTATCAAGTGATAATGTTGAATATAGATTGTAATACCTCATCACTTGATAAGACACTAGTGTTGAAACAAAATGGCTATTTTTGTAGTGAATTTATAACATATTTATGTTATACATTTTAAATAAATAATTATATATATATATGTGTGTGTGTGTCTGTCTGTCTGTGTGTATCCCCCATAAGAAGAACATCTAACGACCTGAATGTTCGAGAAGTCTTATTAAATAAAATGCGCCCTCCAGTAGGATTCGTCTACTAAAAAATGAGGATCCACTAAAAAGCGTTTAAAGTAATAAAAACTCTGTCAGACCAATAAATAAAAAAATCCATTACTTCTTTAGAAAATTACTTTGTTTACGTTTGGATACGAAACTGAACAGATATGATCATTTCAAGAGAATCTATGACAAGAAGGATTTTGTTTAAAGGCATTGTTCAGACCTTGATTAACTGGCAACGCGTCTTCGTGACATAATCGGTTCAGTCACCTCGGATCTAATGAGTTTCCCTTTCGCCTGGGAGACACAGGTTCGAATCCTACCAGAGAACGCAGATTTTTCTTTAAAACTACTTCTCGAATATTCAGGCCGGTAGACGAAAATTAAAAAAAAAAAACTTCCTGTTTAATAAATGAACGGAACGTCTATTCAAATATGAGTATCCACTAAAAGTAACGTTTAAAGTGATAAAAATGCATCAGATTAAAAAATTAAAAAATCAGGTACTTCTTTACAAATATGTGTAACAATATAAGCTTCGCTACATTCGGTTTAGAATTCAGAGTCGTTCTTCTCCTAGACTGGTTGACAAGCAAGAATGAAGGTCCTAGTCTGGGGTACTGTTTAATCCATAGCTTTGGGGATTCATGGATTCATACCATACCCAAGGGATTTTTCGTTAAAGCGAATGTAATGAAACTCGACTGGAATGCTAACACAGCTGATTTTCTCGTTATGAGCGACTATTCTACACCCACAGTTTAAGAGATTTCGAATCCTGTTTATAATATTTACCTAATTCTTCACAAATATAAGAAAAGAATGTGAGGTTTGGTTACTGAAATACTGATTCTAGAAACGTGGGCCCGGCCTAGGATTTGGTAATATATACATTATCATCTGAATCCCGCAAAGACCAAATTGATATAAATGCACACAGAAAATATACACACGAATGCTGATTGACAGGACAGGCGCACGTGAGGTCAGTTTAACCAATTAAAACAAACAAAACAAAAATGAAAAAAAAAAAGAATACCCGAATTTTCTTTCCTCCTGAATATTTCATTTTCTAGTGAAGCTGTAGTTGGTTAGTTGATTGGTTTATTTGGTTTAGCGGCATATCAACACCTCTATGGGTTATTTAATGCCGAAATCTAAATATTTTAAACAGAATTTTATTAAATAAAACTATTTCAAGAAAATATTTATGAACGCAATTTTCTGCCTTCAACTACAGATAAAAGATTTTATGGTCATTTTGCTATAAATTATATTATCGGTAATATGCATTTTTATACTTTCATAGTTTTTTTTTTTTTTTTTTGCTTTCTTTTCAGCTAGGACCCTAACAGGTGCTACTACCACCCAACAGGAGGAAAATTAGAACATCAACTATAAACCCTTTTAGGCACTGACCACCGCTTTACTGGTGGTAGAGTCAAATAATGCTCAGCCACTGTTCAAGTGGTAGGAAAAAAATCACTTTATGTCCAGCAAACGGTTGAAGAGTGGGTAAACACTTGTAACTATTTTTATATCTACCGTGAAACAAGAAACATTTGCAAATTCCGACTCAGAAGAAGCGTTAAAATTGTTTAGGAACGCAAGTTTCAAAGGGTTAATAAGTGTTTTCACGCTACTCAAAATCTTCAACCTCGATCAGAGGCTTTGCTGTCGAATGTAGTTTATTGTATACACGAGACTATTGAAGCGTACACAAGGCTAGCCAAAGCGAACCATGTTTAAATTTATCAACGTTTCTTATCTGTTCCTTATTCTATCAATACTGGCGTCGTACATATATATAGAGAGAGTGAGATACCGTTAGACAAACCAATATGTTTACACACCGAACACTTTCCTCA